GTGTTATGGCTCAGTTCCTATTCAAGAGTGGATCAAATCTCCATTGCCTGGTTGGGGCAGTGGAGATGAGGCTCACCAGCCAGGCTGGTTCTCTGTCTCCTACAGATGTCTGGTGGTGGGTCGGCCTCCGACAAATACCCAAGTAGGGCATGTGATTATAGAGGCTCTGGGGGAATGACATTCACTCCCAAGCCTGCTTCCTGCTCAGAAGGAGGCAGATGCCCAAGACAGGGAAGGTGCACAGCACCTGTGTCAGGTGCAATCCTGGCAGAGCCCGAGGCACCAGCAAGACGCACCTTGTCCTGAAGCTACCCTCAGCAGGCCTCGCTTCCACCTCAGAGAGCAGGCGGCTGGACCAGAGCTCTGGCAGCTGCACCACTGCCTCTGAGGACGCCCAAATGAACAGTGACTCTCGCTGTTTCCTTTGGGGCCTGGCTGAGCCTCTGTTTGGAACAGGGTTGGCTTACTTCTAGATCGTTCCCAAACCCAGCATGAAGTGGACTGTTTCACTCAGGCCGTGGCTCTGATTACCCTGCATCGAGACCACTGCCCCTTCCGGACCCACCTCCTGCAGTGCCTGTGCACACCGCCCAGATTGGCTGGCTGTGGGGACAAGAGACCAACAAGGGGAGAACCAAAGAGCAGGACTTTGGGGACACTTTGACCTCAAGGACACTCAGCCTCATGGAATTTTTATAAATTCATGGAAGGAATTTTAGTGGCCATCTCGTCTGCTTGATCTCCATCTCACTGGGGGGACTGTTCTCACCCCATCTCATTGGGGGGACTGTTCTCTTTGAACTCTTTGTACAGTTGTAGACCTTTCGTGGACTCCCTGGTATATAACCCATTGAGCCTTGTATCTTGCAGATGGAGGCCCAAAGGGGCCGCAGGGTCTTGCCTAAGGTGTCACAGAGATCACCACATTCAAGAACCAGACCGTGTGGCTCCCACACTGCACTGCGCCCTCTATGAAGAATTAGGGAACTTCAGGGAGCTCACAGCCAAGGAAAGACAATGTGGGCTTTTCCCTGAACACATTCTGACAGCTACTAAGCACATTTTTTAATATTTTTGTTTGTTTATGCATACAAGAACTGGGGTACAGGCCAGAGTATGGGGGTGAGAGGATTCATCAGAGACAGAGGTGGGAGCAGAACAGGCAGATCTACTGAAAGACATTGCTGAGGGGAGCAGCAGGTGAGACAGGACAGGTCAGCTGCACCCTGTGGGTCAGTCCCTGGCCGGGGATCAAACTCATGCTGCAGTGGCTCGTAGTAGCATGATAGTGATGAGACTTTAACCTCTGCACCAACAGGGAGACTTCCTAAGCACATACATTTTATCAGTAGCAGGAAGAAAACCAGAGCCCAACCTCATCTTTCTAGAAAGAAGCAGGAAGCACTTTAAAAAAAAAAATATTATTTATGCTTACAGAACTAGGGTACAGGCCAGAAGTGGGGGGGGGTGGTGAGAGGACTCACCAGAGACAGACTGGGAGAACAGAACAACAGGCAGATGTACTGAAATATACTGCTGAGGGGAGCAGAGGGTAGGTCAGCAGAGGTCTGCTGCACTATGTGAGTCACTCCCTGGCCGGGGATTGAACTTGTGCTGTATTGGCTTTCGAGAGCTTCACAATGGGGTGCTTTAACCCACTGCGCCACCAGGGAGGGCGCTAGAGGCAGCCTTTATCACAGGAGGCGCAGGAGATGAGGCTGTAGACTTGCCTTGAGCCTGAGCCCCGAGACTGGCTGTGTGACATCAGACAATGTTCTCAGCCTTGGTTATTTGCTCTGAGCTTTGGTTTTCTCATCTGAAAATTGGGACTAATAACAGTATCCTGATAATGTCAACAGAAATGACTTCTCTCCCTGACTTCATCATCCAGTCTTTCTTCTGTAGGGAGTACAGATCTTCCTCCGTTGATGACGGAGCTCTGACTCCATCCTAAGTTTGGAGACATCATAAGTCAGAACTTCAGGCACTACCCCGGCCTCAGCTTAACCTACGTTAAACATGCTCAGAACATAGATGAGTCCACAGGAAGCGGAACCATGAAGCGCAAAGCTGATCTTGTCGTGAAACGTCAGGTGTCTGTGTCTTTCACTGAATACTGTGCTGAAATGAAAAGCGGCCGTCCGCGGATGGGCTGTTCACGCTCCTGACCCCGTGGCTGCCTGGGGGCTTCCGTTCTGTCCACCCACAAGAAGAGGGCATCAGACTGCCTGTCGTGAGCCTTGGGGAAAGACCAAAAATTAAAAATTGAAGTACTGTTTTCACCTATGTTTTTACCATTGGTTTTCACTGTCACGCTGTTCTAAAGTCGAAAAACTGTTCTTAGAGCATCCACAGTGCAGCGCCTTAGGAGAATAAAGTCTGTACTGGCATTTTGGGAGATGCAAGACGCCTCCTTCAGGGCTGGGCTCAACCCTCCTTGTCTTTGTGGCCCCCAAACCTACTGCAGCACTTTATCTGCAACGGGGTGTCAGTCAGGAGGCACCCCGTTGATGGGAATATCATCTACACAACCATTCGGCCTTGGTAGGCAGACACTGAGAACTCTTCAAGGTGCCCAAGGCTGAGGGAGAACCCGGTCAAGAGGGGCCTCCCTCCACAGCGAGGTTCAGACAGCCCTGGAGAAGCTGTGGGTGGAGCCCAGCTGCCTGGGACAAAGGTGGCCCACAGATGGGGGCGGCCGAAAAGGGCTCTCTGGGTGCAGGTGAGATGAGACTGATGGGCAGGTGTCAGTCGGGTACCACTGCCCACGGCGGGGGCCATGGTGAAGGCCAAGGTCAGCATGTGGGTTCTGTGGACACACAGCTGGGACAGAGCAGCACTGATGTCCCCACGGATGGTGCTGGAGCAGGAGCAAGAGCAGGGCCAGGAAGGGGCCCCCTCTCCCCGCAGGGCTCCTTAGCGTCACGTCGGGCTCGGTAGAAAGGGGCAGTGTGTGGCCGGGCCTGGCCCCGCAGCAGACTGAGGGTGAATTTAGAGCTGAGCGGCAGTAGTGTGATCACTGGCCCCCAGACCTGTGTGGATTAAATTAGGAGAAGCGCAACGGGTTAAAGCACCACATTATGAAGTTCTCCGAAGCTATGGCAGCAAGTTTGACTCCAGGCCAGAGAGCTGACCCACATGGCACGCAGACCTCCCTGACCCGCCCACTGCTCCCCTCAGCAGTGTACTTTGTCCATCTACTTCCCACTCTGTCTCTGGTGAATCCTCTCGCCCACCACACCTCTGGCCTGTACCCCAGTTCTGTAAGCATAAATAAATAAAATCTTTTTTAAAATAAAATAAATAAATAAATTAGGAGAAGCTACATCATCGGTCAGTAATTCCCTTCACCCCAGCTTATTTCCACTTCTTTCAGTGCCATAAATTTTACCACCAATAAATGTCAGGCTTCTCTAATTTCTTTCGTAATTTACTCTCTAGTAGCTCATTTCCCTCTGGGGTGTTCAGTTTTGTTTTGTTTTTTAATGAAGCACATACCTTTCTTCTCTTGGCACACTCTTGGTGGGGAGGGAGGGGGAGGGAGGAGAAGGAGGGAAGGAGCAGGGGTACAGGGAAGGGGAGAAATGCCAGCATCCTGAGCTCCAGTGTTTTATCTCGATACTCCCCACCCACCCCGTGAGCTTGAACTTGTTTCCCCACCATCTCTTTCATTTCAAAGCTGCCCACCTGCCCCTCCCAAGCCACTTAGGAGAGACACAGCTCTGGACTTCCAGTGGCGGAAGGAGTCAGAGCTGATCCAAGAGTCTGTCCCCCGTCTTTGAGGAAAGGTGGTGCCCCCCGACTTCCCCGCACCTAGATGCAAGTTCACCACCTTGGACAAATCCAGAGTCCAGTCCCTGGTGACCTTGGGAGACAGATGATCTAGCGTGACAGGCCAACGGGGAGGATATTTCCAGGCAGATACTAGTAAGCATTTGGAGAGGACTAATCGTTTCACTTGAGACTCAAACTAAGGCGAGTGGAGCGAGCGTGTGAAGAGGCTGCAGACGCTGCCCTCTGGGAGAGCGTCACCCCGTCGCCAGCCCTGTGCCGGGCAGTGCTCTTGGGGGCCACCACTCTGTGCTTCAAACGTATTTCATGCTCTTCTGAAGCATCAGCTTTAATTAGCGTTCACAGATGATTCCCCTACAGGAATTAGCTAAACAGCGAGGTGGGCATGCAGTTACGACTTCCTCCAAGACTGAAGTGCTTCTGCAGATGGAAGCTACTCACCGTCCTCAGCAGGGCTGGGAAGAGCATCCCATTAGACCAGAAAATGGCAACATGAGAAATGATGTAGCAGTCAAAATGTCCATCTAGATGACGTGACAGTCCGACATACTTCTTTGCAAGTGGTCGACATTCTGGGCCCGCGGGACCTGGTGTCTCTGGCAGAAAGCCCTCTCAGTATCTCTCCAAACTCTTATCTTCTACCCCTATGTTCGCTGGAGAAAGCATGCTCTTGAATGACCAAGAGTATTCTTAGTGTTTTTACCCCTGGCTAGGGGGATTGTGGATGGTTTTTCTTTTCTGTTTATCTCTCTTTTCTGCAATGAGTGTGATTAGTGAAATAATATTTTTTTCTTCTCTACATATTGAGCTGCAATACCGCTTTTTGTCTCGTATCAATCCAGGCCCTTTCCAGACTCTTCTCTTCCCCCTGCCACCCTCCCCAATCACATTAACTGCCAACAATTAACAGACTTCATTTTTGGAAGAGATTTGTCTCTTCTCTCTTGAACTTCTAAAAACAGCCCACTTTTTCTTCTCCCCCTTACCAAGCAGAGATCGAAGCTACACCTGCCTCTGATATGATGAATAAAAAGCCTTTCATGATTCTTGCACATTCTGAGGCAGGTGGAAAAGACCAGCCAGGGGCGCTGAGCCATGTGAAGATGCTCTGTGGGGTGTATTTCTGCCTCGGGCACGGCTGTGCCAACCTACGGGCACCTTGAGGCTAACACCTGGCATCACTAACCTTTGATATGTTGTTCTTTCAGATTTTTGACAATGAAGCCAAAGACCTAGAGAGAGAAGTTTGTTTTATTGATATTGCCTGCGATGAAATTCCAGAGCGCTACTACAAAGAATCGGAGGTAAGCAATCAACGGGTGACTTGCAGAAAAGTTGTTCATTCCTTTCTTCCTATGGTCATTCATTCACATGCATATTTCACCACTGTGGAACCCCCCAAATGTCTTGTGATGGTTTCATTTGCTTTCACATCATGCTGGATTCTTTCATGTGGGTCTCCAGGGTCTTCTCCTCAAAGCCCACCCTTGGCCTGGCCGCCCCTCAAGGTCCTTCCTGGCTCCCCAACGTCGCCGGGCAGCAAACTATTCACATGCCTGCCCCACCTAACATACTGGTCTTTCTACAAGAACAGTGGCCTGCCCCATTTGGCCAGACCTCTCTATAAGCCTTTGTTCCTTGAGGGTGGAACGCTGTGTTTTATTTGGGTCTTACATATATCTTTGGGGTCTCACACAAAGAAAAGGCTCAGTCAACGCTCCGAATGAACAGGGAAGTTTTAACCGTTGATCTCGGCACCAAAGCTGTCTCTCGAAACAGGAATCGCCTCCACGGGGAATTCTCCTTTTCCTGTGGGGCTTCTACCCAACCAGAAGCCTCTGTTTTGCCTTCGCCCGACCTTTTGTTGTACTGGGGGTGCCCAGCACCATTTCTGGCCCATTCGTATTTTATTAATGGCCTCTGGTGGAATGTGTGTGACCCCAAACCCCTTGTAAGTAACAACCCGGCGCACAGATGCTGGGCTATTTTTGTTGTTTAGCAACAAGCAGTCACTCACAGTGTGTCTGGACTCAGGGCCCAGACTCGACCTTGAGCCGTAACACACGGACCTTGAAACTCTCCTCCCAGATCCAGGAGGCTGACTTAAGGCCCAGTAAATAAACCCGTGCAAAATGAATCCAGCCGTTACACAAAGGAGGCTCCCAGTGTGGTTCAGATGCTTTGGCTGCACATTTTGGGATTTGTTTGGAGATGAAAGTCTAACTTGATCTCAGCAAAAGCTAAGCTGCTTAATTGCAGGCGTGTGCTCTGCCACTGCTGGCCCTCACGGCCTGGGAGAGGCTGCTGGAAATGACTCTCAGCTGCACTCAATGGCTGAGTTTTTTAAGCATCGTCGGTTTACGTGACACTCGTTGTCACCGCACTGGTGAATTTGCCGACAAAGTGTGCCCCACATGACTGTGGACTCCCTGAAGAGGGACACACCTGGCCTCCCCGGAGCAAACTCGGTCTTGCTCCCCGAAGGTACTGTGTGACCGCCCACCCAGCCCCCCAGTCCTCGCCTGGCTTTGATGTTGTGTGGAGTGTCATGCTCCCATGCGGGCGAAGCTGTCATCTATCACTTCCGTGGGCCTGGAGGCAGAAGGCCGTTGTCCTGGAATTGGCTATGACCGCATGTGAAGATGGGAGAGATGAATCTGTAGGACCTTAGGGGTATAGCTTGGGCAATAAGTAGGTAGAAGGGTTAGAAGAGGACAAAGTTGGGTGGACGGGTGGGTGGATGGATTGGGTGGGTGGGTGGATGGGTGGGTGGATGGGTGAGTGGG